GTAAAGTTAGGTGACGTAATGTTTATTTTTTGGCGAATAATTAAGTATTTAAGATGCAAAAAGCATTGTTAAATTATTTGTTTTATGCAATAGTTTTATGTGAATATTTAATTATTGGTCATGCGTGGTAAAATGTTTTTATCAAATAGTAACTCAATACAAAGTTTGTGAAACATGATTTTATACTATAATACAAATGTTTTTATACAATTTATATTTAAATCATGATATAAGAATATTATTTGTGATCATAATATCAAAGTGAACCGCGATTGTTAAGATATTTTGATAATAAAGAAAACTAAATCATAACATGTTTAATGTAGTTGGTTTGTTTATTAGTCATTTTGTGAGGATGGCTAAGGAATTATTTCTAAAGTTATAACAAGCACATTCTTGAGTTTTATCTTTATTTTTTAATCTTAGTGCTTCTACTATGATAAGAAACTTTATGCAAACAACAACAACAAATAAAAGCAATAGGAGCAACATTTATTTTATAATAACAGTAATAATAATGAAATTAATAACAATAAAAATACCTATAATATCATAAATAATAAAATCATAATATCATTATATTATCCAGGTTTATACAATTGTAATTGCTATCTCTAAAGCTATGGTGATGGTCTATATTTTAGCCAATTTAAAAATCAACCTGTTATACACAGGGTATATACAAATGAAAATACCATATTGAATTCTGGTGTATTTTTGAAGAACATTTTTTTTCAAAAAGTAATAAAGTTTTTGTGTGCAAGAAAAGAAAACTAAAGATTTTCAAATTAAAGAAAAATATGCATCATGTTTTCGATAATATTTTTGTGTATCTTTTTACGTAACATGGTTTGATCAATTTTTACAATGTTCCCCATCTAAATTGGCAGGAAAAAAGTTTATAAAAAGTATACAGTTTTATAGCAAGTTAACAAATCTACTTTTAACGAAGCTTAAAATAAAAAGTTTGCAAAATAGTGTATGTATAGATTTATGTTCTGTTGTTGTTCATTTACTATAAACAAGTATATGAATTTGGAAATTTAGTTCAAATGGAAATTTAGTTCAACGCCAATAGCAATTGTGATAAAGTAATTTAAGATCATTTAAAGTTCAGTCAAGCAAGCACCTGAAAATGGTCAACTTTTTGTTTAATATAGATTGCTGTTCCAAATACAAATTGCATATATGATCCAATACTTTATGTCAAGCAAGGTTCAAATTTTAAACCAAACAAACTTACTATCTGTTGATCTTCTACTTTGTTTTGAAGTTATGAGTTCAGATAGATATGTAAAACATTTAGTTTACAATTTTTTTTATAGCTTTTAAGCTCAAACTAGTAACCAATGATGTAATTTAAAAGTTTTATTTTTACAAATTTTAATTTGAAAGGAGAACAACATACATTATTAAATAAGCTATAATTTGAATGCATATATTTAAATATAGGGAAGATCAATCAATCACCCCTTTATATGTATATATAAATATATATATATATTTTTTTTATATATGTAAGTTTTGATTTATATGTAAGTCTGTACAAAGATATAATTTTATATAGCTTTATATTTTATTAAAAGTATGTTTTAATTATATTTTAATATGTTTTAATTTATGTTTTTAATTTTTTTTTTTTTTTTTTTTTTTTTTTTTGATACAAAAGATGTTTTGTTCAAAGCAGATCAGCCAACCATATAAAGGACAGATAAAACTGGCCCTCATCTCAGGCTTAAGGGTCAATTAATGCAATTTTTTAAAAGCTTCTTTTGAAGTATGCAACCCTGATGTCTTGATGGGCACAATCACATGGAAGTAATGTAATATTAAATAAAATATTAAAGCATAAAATTTGCATTTACTTTATTTTGCTCTAACATCAAGTAATAATAAAAGTCCCAAACCATATTCAATTAAAAATAGGTTTTTAACTTGTAAGTGAATCAAATTAAATTAAACATTTTATTTTTGTTTTTTTAGATGTTACATATAGTGTAATATAAAAGGGATAAAATAATATCAAACAAAGTTGCTTGGTAGGGTATACTGGATCCATCCACTACTTCTAAAAAATCCTTAAAAACCACTATATAAAATAAAAAACAAGAGAATAGTAAAAGAATTCCTTTTATTTACATATTTAAGCAAACTGTTGATATAAAATTTTAACAAAAAAACACTTTAATATTTTTTTATAAAACAAAATTGGGGTAATTTCTACACGTTTTCATAAAAAATTCGAACGTACTTGAACGTTTTGTGTTAGCGGGGAGGTCATACATAACATTCAGATCGCAAACTTTAGGGTCATCCACATTTACCCCACACATTGTGCATAAAATTGGTTTGTTTGCGGCATCACTCATTGTTGTTTTTTTCATGTCTTTTCCCTTCCCTTTACCTGAAATGAAGACAATTTTCGGTTTGGTTTTAGCCTAATTTTCTTTAATGAGCCTAGCAATGCATTTATCTGAAGTGAGGCTTTCACCACACTATTTTTTTATGGCCTTCCCTCTCGTCTCCATTTGCCGCTTCCCTAGTTTTTCATGAAAAGGTGTGAGATTTGACCCATGACTAAAATTGTCTTATTTGGTTGAAATTATGAATAATTATATATCTAATACCATATACAGATATTAATACTACTAAATTAACATGTTGCCTAAGGATATTTACAAGAAAAGGTTCAAATTGTGAAATTAAAAATTTTATCATCTCTGTACACATTAAACACATCCAAAAAATAAATGATGATTAATAAAAGTATGATGATCAATAAAAATATATTTTAAAATGTATTTTAAAGTACATATATGGTACTTAGATTGAAGATGATTTTGGATTTCCAAAAAAAGTTTCATAAACAAATTTCTAAATCAGTATGGGTACAGGAAGCATATACTTAGTGAGAAACAGAAAGTTGGCAATCAAAAACATGAGCTAAAAGTGGTTCAAGTTTTTTTAGTTTATCTGTATTGCTCCATATCTTTTTAGAGGGTGGAATTTCCCCGGGGATAGAATTACCCCAGTCTAGCCTACAATTGTTTGAAATAAGTTTATATTATTTGCGTATTTAATTGCGACATTATTTTTGCCAATGCATTGTTTAATTTGATAAACTATTTCTATTTGGTAACATTATGTTACTAATAACACAATTCAACTTTTTATCGTATTCCATAAATTTTTTTTTTTAATATTGAAAGTAGCTTATAATTTTCAAAACTTTTAAATCATTTGCTAACATCTTTAAAAGAAATCTTTGTTGCAAGCCTTAACATTTTAATAAGGTACAAAGTAGGCGCTTTTTATCCCTTAACTTAAATGGAACTAAGTTTCCGATTTTGGCAACCTGGTTAATAATACTGATTCATGGTGCAAATAAACCAGGTATATTTATATATTAGTGGTTAGAGAGCTTGCTTTATAAGCCGGGGATCTGGGTTTGAAATGAGCCTTTAATATATTTCGCGTCACAGTAAGGAAGGGCGCGTGAACTTCCTGGTTAAATCCATTTCCGCGATGCTCTGTGACAAGACCGTTAGGACTTCTTGGGGCACATAAATAACAAAATTTGATTGCGATTCAATAAATATTTTAAATTTTGATTGCGTACATGCCACTAGCTGAACTAAAATTAATGTCATTGTTGTTTTACATAGCCCATAGATTAGTAAAAAATTTTTTAAAACGTCCATAAATTCAAATAAATGTCATTAAGTAAAATTTAATGAGGTTCGTAGTCAGCTAAAGTTTGAAGTTGGCTGGCCGTATATATACTACTTACTTCCTTTTCAGCTTAAATTCTCTTCGTCTTTTTAATATTTCACTACAGATCTCTCGTGTAAACTATATATTCAGTCCATGGGAAAGTCACTAGTAATACCTACTATGACCGGACCCGGGTCTTGTTAAGTCTGTTCAACATAGACCATTTCTAAATTATTTGTTTGGCCTGTTTATTTC